TCGAGAATAATCGACGAATCCGCTCCAAATTGCCATCGGCTAGTCTGCAAGTAACGTGTGCTCCGGTTCCTTGCTTGCTTGCTCCACAAAACCCATCGCAACTGCACAATAATCGCTCGCTCATCAACAAACACTGTTGGCCTTTACGCTTCAATATGACCGCAAACTACCAGGTATAATACACGACGTGAATATTCAAGCTTAGCGACCGCGTCCACGCGACAATGCAACACTTGCAATGGGAGGGGTGGTACAATTGCTTTTAGGTCAATCAACACTGAGCGAGGGTCCACTGCGTTAGTTTTCACCAGAAAACAAAAGCTATCGTGCGAACGTCCGTAAGTTTTCAACAGGGCGGCCCTGGTTTTCGGATTCTTGTAACGTTTGTTTGTCCAGCCGCTTACATAGCTTCTGTCTCTACTGGACCTATTTCCTTAAAGTAATTAAGTAAACAGTTAATTCCAGAACACCGACAATATGTTGTCCAAAGTGGCGAGGGAGGACGACAATTTGCCGCCTCGTAAAAAGGCAAAATCCAGCCTTGGCTATGCAGCTGCATGGAAACTATGGTAAGGAATAAAGTTATGTGCGCGATATTTTTTTTTGGTTATGATTATTATTCTTTTCAAAACCCAAGGGCCTCCAACGATGATGTCTTGCTAAATGCATTAAAAACACTTTTAAGGCAGTACAGAGTAAGTAAGATGTCTAAAAATGCATTCTAAGTGGCGCTAAAACATAGATAATATTTATGGTTTGTTCATACTAAATATAAAATCATGTAATGTTAAGCGGCAAAGGCAACCAGAACTGTGAAATACAACAATGGGTCTAATTGCATGCAGCACGCTTTCTTGTACATTTCCTTGACGTTGCTTTGCATGACTACTACGTGAAACGTCCAGAAACTTCCTGGTTTTCACGTTTTATGGAGGAAATGTCGTACATGTTCTTGTTCACTTTTTCCACTACCGCTCATTCTTTTTAGCTCCGCTATAAAATTCGTATCTGTTCGGTCATCATAGGGCAAACTGAGTCTTCCGGAAAACTACAAGGGCTTCAATATTTACATTTTCCCGAAAATTTTAGATGCAATTTATAGCTTTACGAAAGTAAGAATTTTTCTGATTCCTGTCTCCATCACTTTTTTGATTCCGAAAACTTAAGGTTTTCTTTTTCTACGAAAAATAGCTTAACCTGGGATGCGAAAAATTAAACTTAATAAAATCAGAGGGAATTTATAAGATAAGCTTCGAAAATTGTACATGAATGAAAGCTACAAAAAACAGTCGTTTGATGCCACTGAAATCTGGCTCGGGCAGTTTATGTCATATTAACGTCCCAAATCTTTTGGACCCTCAATGAGTGATCTTTCTGGCGCATCAGAGATTTTTTAAACACCGTTTCAATATTTATTTTAGGGTGCTGGCCAATTATACTTATGAACTCGGTGCTGTAACACCAGTCGGAGATATTATAGAGCATGCAGCGCAAGCCGCGAATGAAAACACCGCTGGATCTGCTCTAAGTTCAACCTCTTTAGGTTTTATTGTGAAGGATTCGTGGGGAGATGCCGTCATTAAAGCTCGTAGAGGTCCTAGGAAGCAACAGCAGAGCGTTTACTTGAATGTGAAGAAAAAAGATCCAACCCACCATAGTGGCGATGTGGATGGCCTCATTCCTCTTTCTCAGGCACTTGCTGATCTTACGGTTCCTGACGATTGGAAAGTTGTACGAGACAAGCCACACTATTGGTGTAAAGTTTGTGTAGAGGCATGGGAGGTAAATAACGCAAGAGCATCCACCAAAATTGTGATTGACCAGGACGGGAAGACAGGACTCTCATTCGTCAGCGTAAAGGCACACAGATGTCAGAGGGATTTAAGCAACATCCAGGGATTTGCAGCAATGTCGTTACTGGGCAGAGTTAATTTGGCACTGGACTATGTTCAGAAATCCTCGTTTTGCAAGGGAATATCCCTCTCAGATGGAGATTCTATACAAGATTCTTTGGTTCCTTATGTTACCGGGTCTTTTAAAGACCTGTCAAAAGAAAAGCAGGAAAGATCAACAGTCGCTTTCTCCTCAAAGTGTAAAATGTTCTCTGTACAAGGATTGCCCTGTTCAGAGTGTAACCATTTGTTGAAATACACAATTTAAAAAAGATGCGACGGGAAAAAACGTAGCAGGGTACATCACAATTGCAACAAAAGATACATGAGAAAAGAAGACGTCATGTTGCAACTAAACCAGCAAAAGAAGCAACGATTCAATGCAGAAAGAAGGGGAACATACTGGAGGGAAAAATTTGAAACTGAATCCCTGCAGTTAGAGGAAGAGGATCACAGGCATCTGTCCACAATCTTACACAACATAGACAAGTCTAAAGTTCCACATGAAATGGAATGCCTCTGGACCCAACAGAAAAGTATCATGGCCACCAAAAGTAAGCGGGGTTACAGATGGCACCCAAAGTAAGTTGTTTTCCGCAGGTGTATATGTATAATAGGTGTTACATAAGTACTTTAACGACAAGGTAGAAAGTAAAATGAAACTACAGTAAATGGCAGGAAAAAAAATACGCTTATTAGGTTACCCTAACCATCAGGCTGTGGGCGAAGCGGTCGCTTGTGCACCTAGTATGTTAAAAGTTTGTTTTAGTATGCTCCTCCACGAGTTCCCCCTCAGCTATGCTGACCAGTGCATAGCAATCAGCGTTAGCTTGTGCCTATGTAATTTCATTCAATAACGCTTAATGAATTTTTCTTTGACAATATTATTTTACAGGATCATCAGATTGTGCATTGACCTGTATTGTAAGAACCCCCACGTCCTTGACCCCCTTAGGAAATTTATCATTCTTCCAAGCAACCGCACTATCAGGTAACCTTGTTTGTGGCATATAATTTGACACGACCACACTTGACCTTTTACATTTAAAGATCTCATAATGAAAACGTTGAACATGTTAACCTTTTCATTTAGAAAAATCAAATTAAATAAAAAGCCATGTTCATTAATTTCACAGACTCGATAAGAACAAAGTAGAAGAAAAACCTGGCTGGAACGATCAAGTGCTAAAATGGTGCCTGAAGAATGCACAAGAGAAAAATCTCAGGGAAGAGGATTACTGGGGAGGCTTTGTGATAGACGAAATGAAAATTCAGGTTTGTATCAGAAAAAAAAACTTATCTGCTATAATACTAAATCGGTATGTTGGATCGCTCACACAGCTATAAGGATTTTGACCTACAGATTACATGGCCTGGGCTAGCCTGTATATATGAAATACTTCTTTCAAGTGCATTATTCACACTGAGTCATTCACTTTTCAGCTTGTTAGTTCCCTCTGTAAGCAACACAATCTTAATTTTAGAACAAAGAGTCATTGCTTGCTAAAACCAACATTTGAGAAAAAAACAAACACAGGAATTCCAACACGAACCTGCTTATTAGTAAGTAATATTAAACAATTTTTTTGCTTTGATATTACTATTAGGAGAGCCTAGAAATGGTAGTAAAGCATGGAAAGCACAGGCCAGTTGGATTTGTTGACCTTGGAGAGGGCCACAATCTAATGACAAGCCTGTCTGGTATGTTGTATTTTTAAACTATTTTGGAAACTGATTAAAACTTTACCTGGTATCAAAACCTAATCTCATTATTAATTTGGCTATGTGTTTTTACAGGTAAAACTGAACCACAGTTGGCCACTCATGTCTTGCAATTCATTTTCATAAGTGACAATGGATTTCGCTTTCCTGCTGCACAGTTCCCATCTGGTGAATGCTCCCCGAGCGATCTTTATTTTAACTTCTGGAAAGGTGTCAGGAAAATGCTGGAGTTTGGTTTCGTGTAAGCTGCAGACTTGTGATGTTTCTTGACATATATGCATGCCTCTACTTTAGCATCCTAGAACAACATAACAGTACATTAAATTATCATGTTTTACAACGACATACATTAATAGGATAGTGAAAGATTGATGTCAATTTAAAACAACAAATGGGGTTGAGCAATCCAACCAATTCATGTAATTGATGACGGCCAATTTGAATTGCTTTGGAGCACTCTAAAATCTTTACCCACTTATAAGAAAAGATCCTAGCCACATCATATCAGAATCAAAACTGAACTTACCACTTTCTTTCCCTGAGTTTAATGTCCTTATCTGGAGATTCCGGAATCGATGAAACCAATATATGAAAATAATTATAATATAGTAACAGGCATTCAGAAAAAAAAGTCAGGCCCTAGTTAGCATGGATGTGCTCTAAGAAAGAAGTGAAGGCATGTAAGTGAATTCCAGGATGCTCAACTTTTGATTTTTTTGTTTTTTTGAATTACATTAGCACCATCTGAATCAACATGTTCTACATTTTTTATGAATCATAGCAGGGCACTCTTCTTGGAATTACATCTTGAAAATGCTTTCCAAGGTGCTAATGTCAAAGATAGTGAAAATAACTTATTTTTCATTGAATTTGGGCAAATTACCCACAACCAAAACATTCACTAACTATAAAACACAGCTATGATAACAAATTAGATTTCAACTCCAATCTAAAAAATTGTCTTTCTAATTCTTTCTGTCCACTTCAGGATATATTGGAGTATTATGGATGGAGCAGACTGCAACAGACAGTTTATCAGAATGCACTTTAGAGGAAGGGATCCTGTGAAGGATAAGTTTATAACTTCAAACATCCACACTGGAACACCAATGGTTTTTGTCATGGATCCAAAGGTAGATTTAGGCACAAAATTTATTCCTCTCCAAAGATATAGCAACAATCTATACTTTACTATTTCTCAAAGTCAATTTCAACCAGAAAGAACCAACCTAGGCCATGTGTATAGTAAAACTAAATGGCTACAAAGTGAATAACATTTTGAAACTAGGTTCTTAATGTGTTACATTTTCCCTCACTTGGAAAAAGTATGTCTTTTGGAGGGCTTATTTATAAAGAGGTTTGTTACAATGAGGTTGAACTTTTAAAATTACATTAATTGACATGTACTGTGTCCTTATACATATTAATTTATTTTTTTCTCTCAGCACAACATAAAGAAGATCAGGAACAATATAGAAAAGAGCAATGCAAGTGGTAAACCCCGATGTCTAATGATAAAGGGCAGGAATGTGACCTGGCAGTATTTCAAAGATGCCTTCAACTGGGATCAGAAGTCCTTCAGTCTTCCTCTGCATGAAAAGTTAACTGACCAACATTTCAATCTTGACCCAGCCTCAAAAATGAGAAATCATTTAGCCGAAGATGTACTTGATGATAAGATGCTATTTTTAATGCAGGTGAAAGACAGTTCAAACCTTTAACTTTGATTTAAGTCCCATTATTAGGTGAGATCTGCAGAGCAGTTTCCTATTGGAAATACTGAAATTGCTACAAGCTGTTGAAGTGACTGAAGGTGCGTAGTTTGTCAAGACATGACATTGAAATGAACGCTCTCGGAAAGAAATAACCCAATATTAATGAAAAAACTATATGAATTTAAAAACTATAATCAACGAAATCAGGATGAAATTTCTTACGAAGTTGAAATATTGTTGTATCAATGTTTTGAATTAATAAACATTTGAAGGTTTCCTTTTCTATGATCATTTCAACAGAAATACCAAGAGAACGTGATGGGACAAGGAAAAGACAGCTCTCACCTCGACAGCACAATATCATTGTTGGTTCATACATCCAAACTGGTTAATCTTTTTAATGACAAACTAGTGATCAGATCAAATGCAGATCCTCGCCTCAGACAACTTAATGAATTTCACAAATTTATGAATGATTGGAGAAGTGAAAGCTCAGAAAACAACAACCAATTTGTTTCTTCTAAACTTTGGTTTGACTTGCAATCTATGTGCCTGGGTTTTGGTTCCATGGTTGCAGTGAAACAAGCACAATTTCCACAATCCATAATTAAACCTGCAATAATCAACCAGGATGGTGTAGAAAATCACTTTTGTCAAGTAAGATCATGTAATGGTCAAAATAACAATCCAACCTATCTGCAACAGGAATCAACACAGAACTCCATTCGTTTTGGCCAAACGACCATCAGCCCCAAAAGCAATGTTGGAGCAGCTAATGAACATTCTTCTTCAGCTTGTTCAATGCCAACCGGAAAAAGGTGCAAAACCGCTAAAACTGAGTAGAGTGTAATTTATTTGCCTTGATTGAATGTTCCAATGGAGCTACCTGCTATCCTGAACCGCATACGCAGTTCACCATGTTCTACATCATGCACTCTTTCTATGACATGGAACTCCCTGTCATCCACTGGAGCAGTAAACGGTATTGATCTTGTCCCGTTTACGGCTTCAATGAGAGTTTTAGCCAATTCTATCTTGGTATCACGCCGTCTGACAGGGGCCTCATAGGCCTCACAAAGCAACAGTAATTGGGCTCTTGTATAAACACGGGCAAAGACACTTGGGTCATCATTGTACTTGCCAATAAAATGTATCAGCCGCCCATGCGAAAAAACCTTCTGTTCTGACCGGTCCTTGAGAATATCCTGTCAATAAAATATACATGTGCATTCGGTAAATGTTGTGGTTCAATTTGCTACTTTCTCCATACTTTATACTTACTGTACAACCGCATACATTTACTTGGCAAGCAGCAATGTCATCATTAAACATTGCATTTCACACAGATAGTTGTTATGAATGGAGGCATAAAATGCATCCATAAAAGGTGTATGGGGCTGTGCGGACATCTAACCTTTTATTTCCCTTT